AGCCCACCCGCCTTCCCCAGCACGAGGAGGCAGCCAGGAACCACAAACCACTTCCAGAAGTGGGGGCCATGGAGGATGAGGAGAGTCCAGACAGAGATGTAGGAGAGGTGGGTCCAGTAGAAGACCTGAGGGCAGGGAGCAGGGGGTGAGGGGGGTGCTGAGCATGAACCGAAAGCGGTGGAGTCAAATGGTGCTTCATGGCGAGGCTGTGCCAGGGCGTCCCAGTGCATCCCAGCGGGAAAAGGCAGCCCAAATGATGAAGAAAAGCATGGAAACCCCAAAACTGCAAATTTGAGGAGGGCGGGGGCATCCAAGGGAGGTATCAGGGGGCACCACGCTGGTCAAGAGCTCTTTCCCACCCATGGGGCAGCACCCGGATAGGCATCCACCCGCCAGACCCTCACCCCGGTCCCCCGCTCCCTGAGACAGAGCAGCTTTGGGCACTGCTGGGGATCTCCAGGTCACAAGGGGCCGCAGCGGGACCCACCTCAAAGTGGCCGCTCCGTCGGACGCAGGGGCTGGAGAAGGCGAGCATGGCGGCCAGCAGCCCCTGAAGTGCCAGCCCCGTCTGTGAGGCCGTGCCACCCAGGCCCCCCACGCCGGGCCGTGCCGACAAAAGGTACTCGGCAAGGGCATGGTGCCCGTCCTGCCGCGCCAGCCTGCCTGGGCACACACACAGTCAGGACAGGGTGCGGCGCACCCGCAGCACCCACCCTCTGTGCACCCAGATTTCTGCTGCACCCACCGAACTGTTGCCAATTTTTTTTTTTAACTAAGAAGCACCCAAGTGCTTTGCTCGGACGTTTTGAAAAATGCAACATTTCTCCTTTCCAGAGCCCGTTCTCAGGCCCAGCATCGTTGCAACGGGGGCATTTTGCACGAAGGTGGGTAGTGCAAGTGGACGTGCCCCCCCAATGTGCTGCTCATGTCTCCGAGCGGGGGGTGCAGCCCTGGCACCCTGCCGTGGGGTGAGGGGGGCCGTGGGGTGCAGGGCTGTGTGGTGCAGGGCTGTGAGGTGCAGACCCCACTCGAGAGCTGCGTGAGGGAGAGCAGGAGCCCTTCGCTGCCTGGCTGGGAAGCCGCTAGAGGGGGATAACAGACAGCGCACAGACTGTGCGGCACCGCACGCACCCACCGGCTGCCTGCACCCTGCCTGCAGCCGCTCAGCCCCTCTGGGCACGTGCACTCCCTCTCCAGGCCTTGTATCCCCCTCCCTGGGACATGTGCACCCCCCAGGACATGTGCATCCCCTCCATGGAGCATGTTCATCCCCCCTGGGACATGTGCATCCCCTCCCTGGGACACCTGCATCCCCCTGGGACACGAGCATTCCCCCTCGGGGCTTGGTCCAGGCCCCTGCAACTTTTCATCAGTGCAGTGCAGGTGGTGCCCCCGGCACCGAGGGGCATTTTCCACTTTAGCGGAGGGACTGGAAGGGGGGAACCCACCGCAGGGTTGACGGGGTGCGTTAGAGCAGGTGTTGCCCAAGATAAACCCATTGCAGCCGAAGGGCCTCCCCTGCCTGGGAGCTGCTACTTACTGAAGTTGGCGATGTGGGCGCCCGTGTGAACGGCTGCCAGCGCCAGCACCACGTACCCCACGAGCTGGTGGAAAACAACGTGCTGGTCCAGCGGCAAAACCTTGGCAATGGGGGTAGCTCGCAGCCAGGTCAGGCACCTCCGCAGCATCAGCACCTCCGGGAGAGGGACAATTGGAGGTGCTGGGGGGGCAACTGGAGATGCCAGGGGACCCTGCCAGGGGGCTGTCCCCTGGGGCTCCAGAGCCAGCTCCCCGCTGACACAGGGTGTCAGCCCAGACAGCATCAAGAGGCACTCCTCTGCAGGTTGCACCCCATGAGTACCCTTGTTCCAGAGACCTCACAACCTCCCTAATCCACTATTTATATGTAATTATTTAAAGGAGGAGACAGCCTGGTCCCACAACTGCAAAAATCCACAGGCTCCATTACTGCCCTTAAAAGACCTCCTGGCTCAGGGGTAAGGTCTCAGTGTAAATACGACTGTAAATATCCCAGGTAACCATCACTCCGTGCCCCCCGTGAGCTCAGAATCCCTCCTGCAGCCCAGGAGCTGGCACTCACTGCGAGGAAGGCGCAGTTGAAGTTCAGGCACTGTCCACAGCCCCGGGCCACCGCCATCCATCCGCCGAGGCTGGCGTGCCGCAGGGCAGCCAGGGCAAAGAGCAGAAGGTTGAGGCCGGCGTAGCCCCCCAGGCAGGCGAGCTTGCTGCGGTGGTTGTGCCAGTACACCCGGGTCAGGTAGCGTGGCCGGTGGCTCCTCTCCGCGGGCGGCGGGGGCTTCAGCCAGCTCGCTGCACTGGGAGCAAAGGCATTGATAGCTCCTTGCCCGGAGAAAGGGGGAAGATGGGGCAGTCCTGCACCCACGCTGGCACCCATCCCTGCATCCGAGCCCTGCATCCAGTGTGGCATCATCCCTGCACCCAAGCCCTGCACCCATCCCAACACCATCCCTGCACCCATCCCTGCATCTGAGCACTGCACCTATCCCAACACCATCCTTGCACTCATCCTAGCACCTTTCCCTGCATCCAAAACCAGCACCCAGCTTGGCACCATCCCTGCACCCATCCCTGCATCCGAGCCCTGCACCCAGCTTGGCACCATAAGGCGCCTGAGTTGCTCCCCGTGCTGGCCAAGCACCTTGTGGTCTGAGCACCCCATGAGAGCCTTAAGGAGAGCATAAATCCCATGCTTTTTCCTCCATGCAGGAGGAAAAAGGTGCTCACAAAGGAAAACTGCAGCCCCACGGGGCTGCCGGAGGGACCCACTGACGCAGCTACCTGATGGTCAGGTTCTCCATGACCTCTGGGAAACCCTCCAGCTCCTCCTTGAGCTCCTCAAAGGTGATGGAGCCGCTGTGGTCCTTGTCAGCAGCCTCGAAGAGTGCCAGGGTGAGGTCTCCCAGACGCTCCTCGGGCAGGGCTATCGCACTCTCCCGCAGGCACCACCGCAGCACCAAGCGCAGCTCGTCCGGGTCGATGGAGCCGCTGCCTGCGCGGGGCGAGCGGGCACCGCAGTGGGTCAGAGCAGGGACCCTGATATGCCATAGCACCCTGACAACCCCATGGTTTTACCTTCATCTTGCACCTTTAATGCAGAAATTGCCTCCCTTCCTTGTACACAGGCTTTTTGGGAGGAAACTGTGCCCAACCAGAGCAGGACTGTGCCACTGTTCATAAATCAGTGAACTCATGGATTTAAAAAAAAGGTGACCTAATCGGCAGTTTACCTGCAGCAGGCGCGTTGTCATTTGGCTGGCAGAGCTCAGTGCTAGCAAAGCGATGCAGACACGCTTATCTGGCAGCCAGGCATGAGCGCAAACCAGATAGGCAAGAGGCTCGGCTCTCAGTTCTTCGGCCAGCATTTTATGCCCAAGCGGGTCAGAGCAGGAAAAGCAGCTCAAGAAGAGCTTTGCTTTTGTTATTTCCAGCTTTCCCAGCTGATGGAGGAAGAAGAGAACATGCTGGGATTCACAAATATCAACGGGATTGAGAGTTGATATTTGAGTGGAGCGGAGACTGCTCCTCTCCACGGCCGAGGGTGAAAGTGCTTCATGGGAAATCCTGACGTGTGGCCAGTTTAATTGCTGGCTTTCAGATGGATTTTTGATGCTTTCATCACGGGATGAAGGCAGTGATGTTATACCAGATAGATGCTTACCTTTAATGAAGATCCAGCAGTGAAGACCCACCTAGCCTGTTACCCAGCTGTGCTTAACCTAAGAGGGGACGTGACACCAGTACTGAAGCCGAGCAGTGATGCCCACACTTGGATGCTCGGAAGAGAGCCGTGCTGCCTTGAAAATCACAACTTGGTTCAAAAAAATACAAATTCATCTATTTTTCATCTTACCATCCACGTCATAAACTTGGAAGAGGAATCTCAGCTTGTCTGTCTCGTTCCCGTGTACGAGCAGGCTCAGGGCTTTCAGCAGCTCCTCCAAACTAATGGTCCGGTGATGCCCACGCTTGGATGCTCGGAAGAGAGCCGTGCTGCCTTGAAAATCACAACTTGGTTCAAAAAAATACAAATTCATCTATTTTTCATCTTACCATCCACGTCATAAACTTGGAAGAGGAATCTCAGCTTGTCTGTCTCGTTCCCGTGTACGAGCAGGCTCAGGGCTTTCAGCAGCTCCTCCAAACTAATGGTCCCGCTCCCGTCCGAGTCGAACAGCGCGAAGAACCTCTCGGCAAAGAAGGACTGCGGAGAGGGGGACAAAGGCTCTCACACGGCGGTGGGATGCTCTTCACCGGCCGAATCCTGATGCTACAAACAAAGTTCTCACTGCCAGCAATGGGAATTGCCCGGCAAAAGCTGAAAGTCATAGGGATGGCCCAAAAACAGGAGGGAGGAATGAAGGCTGCTTTTTTGCAGGGGTGTATTGGCACCGCAGTCGGAGGGGCTGCCCAGGTCAGGGAGGGAGCCCTGGGGACCCGGGACAGGATGGGGCGGTAGGCAGCTGGGAGAGAATATTTGCTGGGAATAGCCAAGCGTGTTCAAAGACAGACTGTTGATATCCAATCGATTTTGCATTGCAGATGGTTAATCCATGTTTTCCACTCCTGCTTGCTGCAGAGTACTGCTAGGTTTCTCTCTTCCTCCCTCACGCAACGTCATACAACTCTTTTTAAGCTTAATTTTCTTTAAGTACAATAAGAGACCACAGCTTGTTGTCAGGCTGCCAGTGCTGCCCGGAGGAAGGGACCCTGCGCCCCAGCCCCCGGCGGGAGCACTCACCTCCTTCACTTGGAGAGCGGTTTTGAACTCTTCCAAGTCGATTTCTTTGTCCTCCCCCGCGATGCTCCCAAATTGCTTTGTCACCCACCGCAGCCACTCGGCATCCTCGGCTGTGCTCATGGTGCAGGAACCTGCAGGAGGGCACAGCGCAGGATGGGCAGCAGCCCCTAGTAACCCCCTGTAGCCTTCCAAATCTGCTTTTTTACTGTTCCTGCCATGCTTTCACCACCCACAGACTCCCTGCAGCCTCGTGCTGCAGAGCAAAGGGGTGGCTGCTCTCTGCCCAGCTCTCTAGGGCAGGATGAAGCATCCCTCACTCCTGGCCCCGAAATGGGTCCCGCAGCAGCTGTGCCACCACCCTGGGGTGAGCCGGGACTCCAGCAGCCACAATGGCTGTGGCAATGACACACGTCTGAGGAGCATGTGGGTGCTGCATCACACGCAACCCCCAATTTCCATGTACCGAAGAAGTGAGCTGCTGAGTCCTAGTTGCACCTGCCACGATACTGATCACCACTGCGACGGTGCTGGAGGTGACATTAGTACTAATAAGGGGTAACTCCTTCCTTCTTGACCTTTCCTCCCAAGGCAAGTCAAAAGATGCAGCTGTTTGAGCCACCCTGTGCCTGCACGCCCCATGTGAGACTCTAGGTTGCTTTTATGGACCTGAATTACCAAGCACCAACACACAAGATGATAAGAGCTAATGCATTTGCAGAGAGAGGAGTCGGGCTGCCCCTGCGAAGCATTTGGCACCTCCCTGGTCTTGCTTTGCCCTTGCAGGAGCAGACATCCCCACAGGGGCTGTGCAGCTGTTGGCCAAAAGAGAGAAATAACGCCTCCCCCCAAAAAAATCTGCAGCTGCCTATGCTGCATGAGGACCACAGGGCTCACAGGGCCATCACGGCCTACCGGCCACCGCGGGAGCAGAGCATCCTTAGGGGGGGTCAGCCCATGGCCCGGCTTCGTGTGCCCACTCCTCTCCTGGAGACAGAGCTCACGGCTCAGACCCAAAGGGGCTGCAGAGGAAGGAAGGCTTCCTGCTTCGCTCCCTGGCAGTCCTGCGCACTCTCCTGCTCTTTCATCTCCTGCTCTCAAGCCTCTGCAGCTCGTCCGTCAGGTTAACCAGGTACATCGAGTGCAAGTCCCGGGGCTGCCCGGGTCCCTTTAATCACCCGAGCGTGAGCAGCATCGCGCAGCCCGACATGTTTCACAGCATGTGCTCAGCGAGGCTGAACTTCTACTTCGCTCCCTGGCAGTCCTGTGCACTCTCCTGCTCTTTCATCTCCTGCTCTCAAGCCTCTGCAGCTCGTCCGTCAGGTTAACCAGGTACATCGAGTGCAAGTCCCGGGGCTGCCCGGGTCCCTTTAATCACCCGAGCGTGAGCAGCATCGCGCAGCCCGACATGTTTCACAGCATGTGCTCAGCGAGGCTGAACTTCTTGTTACACCCACACCTTAATCCTAGGATTTCCCTAACTTTCGAGAGCTCGGTTTTACAGAGTGAACCATTCCCAGACCCTTCCAGCTCCCAGCAACGGGAGGTGCTGCTCCTCTGTTGTGCTAGGACGAAAGGAGGGTGGCAGCAGCAAGATGCTCTGGGGTTTCCCTTTGCAAACAAAACCAGAGCAGGGAGATGGGAAACTTTGCTCCCCACAGGCACTCGTCCCTCTCTCCCCGTCCCTCTCCTTTCCTGGCTGCTCCTCGGCCCTGTCCCCTTCAGTCCCTGCCTCCCTGTCCCTGTCCCCCTCCCCATCTCCTTCTCCAGACCTCCGCATCTTCGAATCCCCCATGCTTCTGTCAGATCTGTCAGCAGCTTGCCAACAAGGTCCAAAATTACCGCAGGCTCTCATTATCTTGGGAAACCAAGAGAAAATCAACACAGAGCCGCTGCATTCAATGAGCCTTTTTACAACTCTGAACCAGCCTGCGCCGCATTACCCCAACCCCCTTCTGTTCACCCTTCTCAAATGGCTCCTGTGGGACATAAAACGGGGGTCTCAGCAGAAGGACACAGCATTCCTGGGGAGAATAGGCAGCGATAGAGCAAGTTTGGGCAATACAGCTGGAAACAGGGCACAAACTTCTGCTCACATACAGGGAGGTCCCTCCCGAGCCCTCTCCTGCTTCACACCTGTTTTAATTTATCGTCTCTCTGATCTTACAGTCACACCCAGTTTTGTCACCAGGTCTGTAGCTGCAGCCCAGTTCTTCTGTTGCCGCATGATATTTAAAATGTAGCTGATCACAGCTGCTGTATGTTATTCTTTTAATTTCCTTTGTTTTAGATTTCTTGCGCCATTAAGCAGTCTAACCTTGGGAAGCGCGCGCCCTGCCAAATCCAATAAAGAGCTCGTATTCACCCTGTGCTTCAATCCTTATTTACTGGCCATCAGGAACACATGGGGAAGTGTCTTTTTCATACTGCAACCTTTATTCCTTTTTCAACAAATCCTACTTGTACGGCACTAAACTGTGACTAAATTGGGGAGGAGGTTGCCATGGGAATGTCAGAACCAGAAACCAGGTAGTAAACCATTTCTGCTTTACTACTCCGGCTGATGTCACGGGTGCTCCAGGCAGTAAACAAGCAGGGGAAGCAGGGAGACGTTTTGTACGCTAAGCGGCAGAGTTTTGCTTCATCGACGGAGCGAGGCAGCCGATCCCAGCTGGAAAACTCCCTTGGTCTACCTACTTACTTGTTTATTGGAAAGTTCGCTGAGCTTTGTACAAAAATCCCCCTCTGGCTCCACGGGAACTGCAGACACCGATGGAGACGTTGCCCAGGGACCAAGGCTTGTGCTGCACACAGACCTGATGTCAGGAGCATCCACAGCCTCACCTCTCCTATCTTACTGTCCAAGTGTCCCAGTGATGTACGCCCCACGTATCGGACTGCAAAGAACAGGGAGAAACGTGGAGAAGCTAGCAGAGTCTGACAAAACGTATAGGAAAGCCCTCTGCACGGCCCTGCGGTCAGCACCTTTCCCTCCAGACTCAGTATCACGATGGAAAGTAGCAGAAAACGCAAAATACATCACACAAAAAGCATCTCCTTGGGTCACGACTGAGTCATTCCTCACATAAGGGCTTCCCTCCCTAACCATGATAAGGCTTTAATTTGCAATGGTGCTGAAACAGTATTACAGTAAGCAGATTTTAAGAAAGTACACAAAAATAGATGTAACTATTCTAACCCAACTAAGAGCTGAGAAATAGGTGCTGTAGCCACTGCACGCTACTGAGCTTCACTGCAAAGTAATACAGCTTCAAGGGGGTTACTCTCCCTATTTCCCAGTGCAGCAGTATTTCTTCTCAACCGTGCGTATTTTACATGAAGTTGCAGCTTTACCCGCTGGGATCCAGCAGAAACCAAGCACAAATTCTGAACTGAGCTAAAACTGCCAATTCACAATCCAGATAAATTCACTTTAAAACTGTGGCAATCCAAGGCCATGAAACCATTTACTAGGGAAAGGGGAGAGTAAAATATAAATCATCTTCAAGTATGTGCTGGATCCTACAGACACAAGCCCCCCTTTATACTCGGAGTATTTCTACTATACAAACTTACTGTAGATATCTAAAATAAAAGATAACTTAAATTTGCTAATATGACTTAATAAATTGTGGTCAGGCTGCTACAAAAAGAAAATAATATATTATAGTCAGATATCTGACATTGCATGGAGTGGGATACCGGATTATTTACTCCCCTTGGAGCTGGCAGATGTACCAGCGCAAGTCTGTTTTATTTCAGTTCATCTTAAATTCCTCATATAAGTTTATGAAAATAAGCCTGACGAGTCAATCTCTCAAGAAAAGTACTTCTGTTTCCTCTGCCTGCAGAGACTCCCCTCTCAGGCTTTCAAAGATGACCACAAACCCAGAATTTTTGCACTGCGCTGGAATGTATGAAGGTAACCCAAGCCATGCAAGCTAGACCGAAGACAAGGACCCAGTTCTACGAAAACCTAGAGCGGAGCCCAATGCAGGCTGTTTCCATTTAAATCACTAATTAAAACTACTTTCTAGAGTCAAATTATACATCTGTAAAACTTCACAGGATGGTGCCTCAACTGCCTGTCGCTCCAAGACCAAAATCAAATGTACAAACACATTCAATGTCCTTAGAATCAGCAAAACACCCGAGGATGAGAAGTAGATAATACCCCAGCAGCGAAGAGTGAGGCTCATGCCTGCTTAAACGAAGAGGCTGTAATTAATACAGAAGAGGTACATCCCTGTAACACTGCTGAGCAATGATTTAGGCAAGAAGCAACTTTGAAATGTGCACCTGCCTTCCTGAGTCACTTCTTCAAAGGCAATATCCCTACTAATGGAGCTTGAAAATCGAGGTATTCGTAGATGTAGGACAATAAACCTCGTGTTTGGTGGAAGGTTGTAAAGACAGCATCCCACCGCGGGGAGGAGGGAAGACAGAGGTAAAGTCATCTCTGCTCTAGGAAGAAAGTCATCCTGCCTGGGTCTTGTGTATCCTGAAGACAGTCAAGCCATGAGCCGTGATTTTAAGTTATTTTTCTTTGCTTCTTGCATTTATTAGCAACTTAAGTTTTGATACATTTTGATTTTTATAGCTCTCTTCCTCCAGACCCAGTGAAGTTTTCATGACCCGATGGGTTAAGCACAGCAGCGGGCAGTGAGAGCAGAGCTGGCATTTCTTGCAGTGTCATCCTAGCGTCAGTGACAGTTGATATTTTTCAGAAAGCTTCAACACCTGGAGTCATGTCATGACGCCTGAAACTCATGACTTGCCATCTCTTTTGATCGAGAGCAACTGGGTTCCCTGTCTTCACAACATGAATTTTTAAGGCCCCAAGCCAGCAGCTAGCTAAAAAGGGGCCGACTTCCATTATTTGTCAGGAATTTCAATTTCTAAGCTAGCGCAGTTTTTACAGGATCTGACTTGTGATTTCAGGGTGTTTGATGTCAGTAATTCTGGGAGAATTCCCCTGTTGCGTTTTGACGGCATCTTGCTGTAAGTGTTCCCAAACAGGCGGAGAGGGAGGGAGCCCACGCAGAGGAGCTGCAGTGTTCTGCACTAGTGAAAAACATCATCTTCTGAAAATACCCTGAAGTACTTCAAGCTTAATACCAGGGGCATGTGCTTGATTATAGTATTAACAAAACTTCAGTTTGGCAGCAACTTTTGAAAGGAGAATGGAGATAATACAGTATATCAGTGTATTCATGCCGTGCTGAGTTTCAGGTAAAGACAGTCAAAAAAGAAATATGTACAGACACAGGAGAAATAAAATGTTTACAATTTTCAGAATTAGATTTGAGAAATTAATATCCTTTAAATGGAGAGTAATTTTTAGATTTTTTTTTTTCAATACTATCC